TAGGCTACATGGCAAGCCCCTGTCTCTAAAAGACAAAAATAAATAAAGGACCTGCAAATATTTATCGGTCCAGATGCTTTCCCAAGGGATTTTCTGAAGGCTCCAGCATGAAGGCACAGTCTCCGTCATGCCGTCTCCATTCCTCTCCTCTCCCTAGATGCCCCTAGTACCAGGATATTCTAAGGGGTCATGCATTCTGTCTTATTTCCTAACCCACTGTTATACAAGGAGTCTAACCTCCCTTTTCACTTCGGGTCTAACTCCTTTCTATCTCTTCAGTAGCTATCCTGAGCTAGTTAGCCCCCTTTGCTTTAATGACCCTTTCTCTAGAATCCCTTCTTTGACTATAGGCAACATATGAATCCCTGCTGGCCAGTCTGATTGGGGGGGGGGCACGACTTGGTATCCTGCACCATCGTAGTGCAGAAGGGCAGTTACCATCAACCTCCTAGGCTTCCTGGAAGGCAGTCTTGCTGTGCACAGAGTTCCAGCAGAGTCAGGCCGGCCTCTTCCACATGCAGAACCCACCTTTTGAACCAACAGCCTGCCCGTGTGCTGTTTGCCCTGGCCAAGGTGGATGAGAGTCACTCAGAGTACCTGCAGCGTGCCAGGCCATGCCCTTGGAGAGACTGGGAATATTAGCTGAACGGGGCTCTCAGACAGGGAATCGAAGAGAGCATAAAAACTATGTGAATCTGAGCAGTCCGTGAAGATGTGGGGAAAGGGTCACGGCGGGGTGATGGTAGGTACCGCTGGGCCTTCTACCTAGAGAGGACCTGTTTGGCTGGGAGGTAGGAAACCTTATAGAGGAGATGGCAGGCATCTGGATGGGATGCATACGCAATGGGATCTCAGCCAACAGCCTCATGGGAAAATAAGGCTGGGCCAATGAACTGAAACATGGCTGGCAGAGTGAGGTGGGAGAAGATGAATGGAACCGCTGTCTGATGTCACTGTGATGTTTGCCTCCATCCCCCACAGGGTGTGATCACAGTCAAAGGCTTGGTTGACCGGGAGAAAGGTGACTTCTACACACTGACAGTGGTAGCAGATGACGGTGGCCCCAAGGTGGACTCTACTGTGGTGAGTGGGTCCTGGGTGAGAGCCCCACTCAACTGTAACCCTGTCCGGACCCAGAGTCTCCCCAGCCCCTGACTTGTAGCTGGGGCAAGGGCAGTCTTGGGACCATCCTGCAGTCAGATACCTGGGCTGAGACCTTGGTCAGATGGGGTGGTGGCATGGGCCACAGACCTCATGGGCGGTGGGGGGGGGGGAATATCAAACCAGCCAATAACCTTCTGCCTCTGCCTTTCTCTCCCTTCCATCTCCTGCCGTGCTGTCTACAGAAGGTGAGTAGCCCATGAACTGCCTCACACCACTGATGGTACACAGACCCTCCCACCTTCCCCAGAAATAGGGTCTGTAGGGTGGAGGGCTGGCAAGATGGTACAGCAAGTAAAGGTGATTGCCACCAAGTGTTGACAGAGGTTTCTCCCCCCCCACCCCCAGCCCACCCCCCCCCCCCCCCCTTCCACCAGAATCCGCCCAACAACCACCCC